GTTATTGAAACTATACAAATGCGATCGAACGTACTGAAACGAGATTCAAAAGCAATTGAAGAATATTTATTACAATAATAATTGACATAGTTCAAAAAAAAGAATAAACGATAAAAATCATTCTTGTTCAGACAGTATTCAGTTAAAAGTTAGGAAGCAATTTAATATAAAGTAAATATATGCTTCAAAACAAAAACAAATTTATGAATTAGTAATATAAATTATTCTATTTTTTTCTTATGATGTTTCATTTCGATTGAATTTCAAAATATTAACTTAGTATAAAATATCATTTACTTTCTTCAATGAGTATATTTTTTCAAAAAGGATTAAGTAACACATTTAACAAAATATATAATACTAGGAAGTTTTACGTTTTTATAAAACAACGAAAGGAAGTGAATTAAGAATAATGCGACAAATACATAAAAATTTCAATATAGTTTGTTTATTTGATGCCTATATTAATTCCGAAGAAAATACAGATATTGAACAAAAACTTCGTATATTGAATTATAATTTACAAATATTTAAAGAACTCGATCAATGTGAACAATATATTCAATCTATTTCTTCAAGTAATCAACTTATTTTCATCGTTAGTAATAATTTTGGTCAAGAATTAATACCACAAATTCATCAACTTTCACAAGTTTATTCAATTTATATTTATTGTCATCACGAACAAGAATTCAATCAACATTGGACTGAACAATATAATAAGGTAAGTCTTTAAATCAAATAATTTTATATGTTTTTTTGTTACTTTTAGGTGAAAGGCATTTATTATGAAATTGATCAATTGATTGCATCTATAAAAAGTAATGAAGTAGGAATTAGAGCGATCACTGCTGTAGATGAACCGCTTTCTATGAGTATTTGTAATGTATCTAATGATTATGAACAAACAACAAGTGACCTCGATGGTCGATTTGTTCATTCACAATTACTTATCGATTGTCTTCTACGAATGGAACCATTGTCAACAGATAAAAATGAATTTATTTCATTTAGTCTAAATGAATATCATGATAATGAAGATATGTTAAAGATTATTAAAGAATTTGAAGATGATTATTCAACAGATCGTGTAATATGGTGGTATACAAGAGAAACATTTATTTATCGATTATTAAATAAAAGTCTTCGTATTCAAAATATTGATTTATTATTTACTCTTCGATTCTTAATTCGTGATCTAGAACAACAACTTCAACAACATCAATGTTCATCACCGATAACTGTTTATCGAGGTCAATTAATTTCCACTGAAGAACTTGAATTGTTAAAACAATCAAAAGGCAAATTAATTTCAATGAATTCATTTTTATCTACTAGTCTTAATCGTAATACAGCTCTTGTCTATCTTAATACGAATATGAATGATAATACTAGATTACAACCGATATTATTTGAAATAGATGCTGATCCCTGTCGAAATGATATTAAACCATTTGCTAATATTTCATCATTTAGTTATTTTCCTACCGAAGATGAAATTTTAATGATGTTAGGATCCGTTTTTCGTGTCAATAATCTCTATCTTGATGAAGATCAAATATGGATAATGAATATAACTCTTTGTAGTGATAATGATCATGATTTAAAATCGATTGTTGATTGTATGAAAAATCAATATGGTTCCGAACAAACTAGACTTCTTTTATTCGGACATGTACTTGTTGATATGGCTTATTTTGATGATGCAGAAAAATATTATCATCGATTACTCAAAGATTTATCTTCTGATGATAAAGATATTTGTAATTGTTATCATGCATTAGGTAAAGTTACTTGTGAAAAAGGTAATTATGATGCAAGTCTTATATGGCTATATAAATCATTAGAAACTATGAAACAAAAACTAAAAAAAAAATCATTCACAAATTGGTTTTATTTATACAAGTATTGGTGAAGTTTATCAAAAACAAGGTAATATAAAACAAGCATTAGATTCATATGAAAAAGCATTGGATATTTGGATGAAAACGTATAATAATGATAAACATGAATATGTTGCTTGGTGTTTTAATAATATTGCAAATATCTATGTTATGGAGAAGAAATATTCGGAAGCACTTGAATATCATAAAAAAGCATTAGAAATTAAAGAAAAAATTCTCCCATCATCACATCCATGTTTAGGTAATACATATCTTAATATTGGTAATGTTTATTATCATATTGGTCAATATGATACAGCATTAAAGAATTATGAATTATCAAAGAAGACCTATGAAATTTCTCTTACTCCTCAACATCCTTCGATTGCAAGTGTATTGAAAAATATTGGTATTATTTGTGAAGTTAAATGTGACTTTTCTGAAGCTATGAAGTGTTATAAACAAGCATATTCTATTCGTCAGACATGTTTTTCTTTATCACATCCAGATGTAATTGATATCAAACAAGATATTGAACGTATATCAAATAAATAACGTTTTTCTATTTTCATTTATTTCAATAATTAAATTTTTGTTAAAAATGATAATTTTATCTGTTTCGAACAAAAAAGAAAAAACATTGAAATATGAATTATTTCGATTATTTTTAATATTTCTGTTGTAAAACAGCCATCATACGAGGTAATACATTTGTTAATGCTGCATCCCAACATGGAAAATCATGTTTACCTTTACAGTTATTTCCAATTGATGCACCATTTCCATAATCATTAAAATATACTGGAATATTTAATGCTTTAAGTGCATCACGCATACGATAATTAGTATCACGTATAGTTCCTTCCATAATTCCTTGATTACCAGTATAAAGTGCTAAAGTAACACCTTTTAATGATGCTGCATGTGTAACTGGATTTTGAGCAGTCCATCCTGCTTTAGTCCATGGTAAGAGTGCAGCACCAAATGGTCCATCAAGAGGTTTACCATCGATTGTTACTGAACCAAGAATTCCAGCTTGAATTCGTAAATCAAGTAAATCAAGTGCACCAGAAAAACTTCCTGCAAAAGCAAATCGATCAGGATATAATTCAGCATAACGTATTGCACCAAATCCACCCATTGATAAACCCATTATAGCTCGACCTTTTTTCTCTGTTACAGTACGAAGATTTTGATCGATCCAAGGTAATAATTGTTCCATATGAAAAGTTCGCCAATTTTGTGGAGCAGAATTACCAGGATTTAACCAATTGGTATACCATCCAAATGAACCACCATCAGGCATTACTGTGATTAAAGGAGAATTACCAAGAATTTGTTGTGCTTTACCACCTGTTGTCCAATCGGCAGCATTACCAGCACTACCATGAAATAAATAGAGAACGGGATATCGACGATCCTTGCCGCTACTAGTATAATCACGTGGAAGAAGAATACGAATTTTTTGATTACCTTTGACAGCAGTTGTAGATATAGTTAATTCGTAAAGCTCATTATTAATTTTAGAAGTAGAACGTAGAGTAATACCACGTGCTGAAACAAAATTAGGTGCATCACTTAAACATACACCCGTCAAGTAACAGAGAGTTATACTGATTACGGCAAAGGAATGAATACGTGTCATGACTGACAGTTATACATCGATTAAATTTTGGTATTTATAAGGCAAAGAATCCTATGATAAAAAATGTACTCGAAAAAGAGAAAATATCAACACATAGAAACAGATGATATATTTCTCATAAGCGAAACGTTTTACGCCTACGATAACAAAATATTCATAAACTATGAAGGTGTTTTTATTCATTTTTTCTTTTAATATCAGAAGCAAATGAGTCAACGAAAGATAACTTTATTTAAAATTGATTTGTTTGCGATAGAAATAAGAAAGACATATTTTTTTATATTCTTTATTAAAACATGTTAGTCATAGAATAAATTCAGTTTTGAAATAATTTACTTAAACTTATAAAATTTACCAATGTAATGATTTTCTTTTTTTATTTGTTATATAATATTCCCTCCAGGTAAAAAATGTATACATCATTTATTTTGAATATTATTTTTATTTATCTAAGCACATTATCACACTAATAACATATGTCCTTTTAAATATAAACATAAGTTAATAGAAAAAGTTTAATAATTAGATGCAATGACAAAATGTATCTTCGAACTCTGCATCTAGCCCATATTGATTAACTTTTGTATCATGTGCTTCATCCACAACTATAACCCATTTTAATATTTGTGCTGGATCTTTCACACAAAATTCATCTCGATCATCTTCTTTATGATTATAATAAACTGTGTCATAGTCAGTCCACCACGCATTTGAGTTCCTTACTGTATATAGCTGGTCAAATGTCACTTCTTTAACACGACCCATTCGAATTTCAGCACAAATCAATGCACCAGCAAATCTAGCTTTACCTTCGGTGCGTGCAATTGAGCGAGCAAAATAAACACCGAAACCGAGCATTTGTGATCCTTTCATTGACTGTCGAAAATCACTGTGAGCAATAGCCACTGCTGATTCTGCTGTAGTACGATGAAAACCTACATAGGTTGTCGCTTCATTTGGTGATAATAATCCCCAACGTTCTTGTGGCTTATAATCATCCAAATGAAATATGATCAGATGTTCCAAACTTCGTTTTGGACATTTAAAATTTGGTCCCATTGAATCGCATGGTTTATTTCCCATATGCATATCGTTTCGATTATTACCAACTAGATGATACGGTATATATCGAACGTGCTTGCGAGACAGCGTCTGTCGTGGTGCCTTATCACATGACGGCCGATAATGCCACCAAATACGATATTGATAGATGTCAAGTAAAATTGCGAGAATCGGAAATATTAATGAAATCGTGCAAATGATTGCTAACAGTGCTTTTGCTGATCCATTAGTTTTTGATGTTGCATACAGAATGATAGCTATTATTCGTAGTAAAATACTGAAAAGTAAGAAAACTAATCGCACAATGAAACGTAGACGTGGTCTAGGAATATAGCACGGAAAGTTGCAATTTAATGCAACAAATCGATTCATTGGTCGACTACATAATAGAAATTTTGAACAAGCCAATGTTACACTAGGATCATCTGCTGGTCGAACTTTGTTTTTATCATTACAGCACAAAGAATATATAATTTTCAACGCAACTATTAGTAGAACAAATCCAATAATAATGCCCATAAATGTTGGAACTAATGAGCCAATCCAATCAAGTATAAACCCAGTTGTGATTATTGCATCAGCTTTTTCTTCATTCATCAGTGAGGATAGTAGTGGAAAGAAAGTTGCTAGACGAATTATCCCACAAATAAGTTCACCAATAGCTAATAAAATATACCATGTAGGTAGACGTTTGTAACAGCAGGAACAACAGCACATTGTAGATTCTGTAGAGAAATGAAATGAAATAATATATGATGGAAACCTATGACAAAATTCTCATCTAATACAGACATTTATGTACTATCTCTCAGTCAAAGATTTTGGCTGTAGATTATATTCACTCCTATAACGTTAGCTTCCATCAATTTAAATGATTCTTAGATCACAGTATTTATTAGATGTGAAGAAAAAGAGCCCAAATAAATCTGAGAATATGGTGATAATCATCGTAAATAACAGCCGCATTAGCTTGATTTAAGACAAAATCACTTTGAAAATAATGGATAGTAAGGAAACAACAACGCGAAAAGTTCGAAAATATAAACTCAAATACAGTCACTCAAATCTAGTTGAATGTCGTCTACTTCATCAAATTGTACATTAGCTATATAAAACTTTGGTGTTATTACTTACTTGTTAGAAGAGAATTCCGTGAATAACTTTATGATGTATGCGTCTATTGCTTTTTGAGAAATCTTATGCAAATATTAGTTTGTTCTTTATCAAAAAACGTAATAAACTTGTATACATGATACTATAATATATTATACGACCAATAGAAAGCAAATATCAAGATTATTGATGTAGACACTTGTGGGCTTGAAAGCTATAAATTCAAAACGACAATACTTTACAAATAAATAACACAGACATGTATATAATTCCGTATTTTAGTGTACAAGAGAATGTGATAACAATTCTTTATAGATTGTCCAAATTCCGAATAATCACTGTAAAACAAATTATCTGAGTCAATCTTGTTATAGAATCTAGGACGCATAAATTTCGTTTGAAATCAATTGAAGAAGATCTTTCCAGGTATTCAAATATCCAATAGAAACGGTTCTTGAATTTATTATATTCGTATTTTGTGGTTTTCATACCGTTCCCTTCTATTTTATTGCCAAAAGCAATATTGCATCCTCTGATATCAGATAAGGGTGTGGATGTGGGTGAACGATGATTTAAATACCCACACCCACACGCTCAAGGTGGTCATTTCTATCGAGATCTAGTTATGGCAAAAACATGAAGCATAATTCTATTTTTATCGTCAAATTCACCTACTGTCTCGCTACTTTCCCCGAAAAGCAACTATCACAACATATGACTGAATAAAATGTCAACAATGCGCACTTGAAGCATACATCGGCGAATAGGTTGATAACAGAACAAAAAAAATCCTTGTAAGATTTATTTTTCTAAGCAAACCACGTTTGCAAACACAATTCTTTTCTTCCGTCGGTAAGTTTATGATGGTTACTCTACCGAAATACAACTATAAATGTGTGTCGATGAATTATGCTGCTACTACACTTTTTATAGCTTCATCCTAATAAAATTTTTCTTTCTGTCAAAAGTAAGTGAAACTTTAGTTATTGTTGTTGAAGAAAAAAAACGAAAATACCTTTTCATTCGTGTGCACGGCCATTAGATATGATGGTGCTATTAAAATATTACAAATACAAGATTTTAGTGTTTATTTAGTATTTCATCTTTATTTTCAGATAGTAAACTAACTATGGGAGCAAGTGGATCCAAAAAAAAACTTCAATCATTGGAGAAGCAACAAGAAATGCTTATGAGAGAACATGCCGAGATGGCAAAACGTCTTGCTGAAGAACAAGAGCAGGGTAAAAAACAACATGAAGCAGCTCTTGAACAAATGGCCCAACTCATGCTTCTATTAATCGCATCACAAGCTGAAACACAAACGACTAAAAAAGAAGAACAATTACTTGAAATTGAAGGTGTTACATATGTTATAACTGAGTTTGTTAATAAAGGTGGATTTGGACAAATCTATAAAGGTGTAGTTAAAGGCAGTGATCGTGTTGCTGCAATTAAAATTATGCCAAATTCACCATTAATTCAAAAAGAAATTGAAAATGAAATACGTTTTTTACGTTTAACTAAAAAAATTTCACTTGAGCCTCATCCAGTAATTGACTATTATGGTTGTAAAGTTACAAGTGAACATATATTTATTTCAATGGAATTAGCTCATTGTGATGTTTTAACATTTTGGTTTCAAGGTATGGCTGACAAAAGTCCAGAACAACAATTTACTTTTGGACTTGTAATTATCATGTATACATTACGTGCATTGGCATTTCTCGAAAGATTAAATATTATTCATGGAGATATTAAACCACAAAATCTTGTTATAGTACAACAAGGTGAAGGTTCTTTATGTGTTAAATTGATTGATTTTGGAACAGTTGAAAAAATGCATACATTACGTTCTTTAGTTACTGTTGATGCAACTAAAGCTCATACACAATTTTTTGCATCACCAGAATTTTTACGACGTGATTCGAAAAATTTAATTTCACGTCGTTTACATAAAAAATCTGATGCTTGGGCTGCTGGTGTTATGTTTTATTTATTATTTCTTGCAAAATTACCATGGGAAGATGAGCATGAATATGAAAACTTTGTAAATGATCCACATGCAGAAGATGTTGTCATACCTGGAGATGGCGGTTATAAACTTATTATTGAACTTCTATTAAAGAAAGATCCTGATGAACGTGCAAGTGCTAAAGAAACTCTTTTACAAATGAAAGCACATCCAGTGCTTGGCAAAATTGTTGAAGCATTAGAAGAAATATTCTCTCCTGCTGATGATGTATGCCATGTTAAAATACCTAACTCTCTTCGAGAAGAAATGGGTATGTTTAAATATATCTAGTTTATAAAATAAATTTTATTTTTAGCAAATTTTGCTACACCACAACAACGAGCTCGTATGGTTACAGGTTCAACAAGCTCAACATTAACAACAGGTTCAACAAGTAAAACATTAACAACAGACTCGTTTAAACATCGTAAGTATTAGCATTAATTTAAAAATAAGTAATTTATTTATTTTGTGTAGCTCAATCACGTCGTTCCTGTCGATATGGTCGAGATTGTTATAGGTAATACATGAAAATAATTTAAAAATAATATATCTTGTATTTTATTATTTTTAAAGAAAAAATCCTGAACACAGAGAAGAATTTGCTCATCCAGGTGATCGAGATCATCGTGAAGGAGGTTCTGGAAAAGAAAAATGTCGTTATGGATCACAATGCTATCGGTACGATTGCATTTTCCTTACATATTATCACGTTTCTTTTAATATAAACACATATTTATTCTAGAAAAAGCAATGCAGAACATATGGCAAAATATTCACATTAATTAAATTCTTCATTTTTATTCTGGAATAGAACTGCTTTAAATGTTGAACTTGAAAAGAAAATAGAGTTTTTGATTTTTGCACCGATGCTATTATCAAGCATGTCTAGCTTTATATTATTTTCTAAATTTTGATTAAATAAATATTTTTCATATACACATTATTTGTAGTAATCATCACATGCAGTTAATTTCGAATTGATCAAGACATAACTGTTTATGATTTAGAAAATAGAAACTATAAGATACGATTTTTATGATCTTAACTTAGACAGTTAAGCGGAAGGTGAATAAAGTTTAATCTTTATTCAAAAATGTTATCATCACTGTTGAAGTAACATGGATTAGTGGTTGATGAATAGCTATCATTGATCTTTTACTTAACCTACGAATAGTATGCTTCAGATTGAATTTTTTCATTAATAATAAAATAGTACATGATCTATCAATTAAGTAAGATAATCGAAATTATATTTATATTATACCATATACATTTGGTATGACATGAAAATATTTTTTTATCTTTACCTACTCCTTATCTAACTATTCATTTTAACAAAACTCCACAAGTATATTTTTATCAAATTTTGATAAACAGTAAACATTTCTTCTCACATAGTTTTTAGAACGACAGTTATAAATAAAAATGGAAATAATCAATGAAAATTCATCGACAATAATTCCAGCCGATATACCTGTGAGTGTAGTTGGTTTAGGTCTAATGGGTTGTAGTATTACTACATGTCTCTTAATAGCTGGTCATTCAGTTGTTGCAGTTGCACCACTTTCAATCGATTTAGAAACTGCTGAAAATCGTATTCGTCAACATCTTGTTCAATCATTTGAACAAGAAATATGTTCCGAACAAGCAGATTATTATCTAAAAAATTTAACGATAACTGAAGATTATAATCTTCTAAAAGATACTCGCTTAGTCATTGAATGTACTCTTGAAGATATAACAATTAAAAAACAAATCTATCAAAATATTGAAAATATTGTTGATGATTCTACGATTATTACAAGTAATACATCAGCAATTCCAATTAGTCTTCTTCAACAAGAAACTCGAATACCAAGTCGTTTTCTTGGATTACATTGGGCTGAACCATCTCATACAACAAGATTTTTAGAAATTATTTGTGGTGATAAAACAGATCAAGAAAAAGCCGAATGGTTATATAAACTTTCGCATTATTGGTCAAAAGAACCAACACTTGTACGAAAAGATATTCGTGGTTTTATTACCAATCGTCTTATGTATGCTTTATATCGTGAAGCTTTTTATCTAGTTGAAAATGGATATGCTTCTGTAGATGATGTTGATCGTGCTTGTCGCAATAATGCAGGTTATTGGATGACATTAGTTGGATGTTTTCGTTGGATGGATCTTACTGGTATACCAGCTTATCATGCTGTTATGAAAGATTTATTTCCTACACTTCATAATGGAACTGAAATACCAAAACTTATTGACGATATTGTTAATACAGGTGGAAAAGGTATTTTAAATGGTAATGGGTTTTATAATTACACACCGGAAGAAGCTCGTTTATGGCGTGAAACTTTTGAAGAATTTAGTTATGATATTCGACGACTTGCATTGAAATATCCCGTAGATATTGTAACAAAGAAATTAGAAGAAGAAAAAAAATAAACATATATTAACATATTAATTTAAATTAAAAATTTTTCTTATATATATTTTCGATAGTCTTTACTATTTCATATAGATGATGATGATGATGAAAGAACCACATGTGATTATAAGATTATACAATAATTCATCTCATTTTCATATCCACTCAAAAATAATTATATATACAATATGCATACTGTAGTAAATCGCTTCGTTGATATTTTAAGAGTATCAATTTGTTAAAGTTGATTTTCTTTTTTTTATTAAAGAATTTGCGTCCTCGGAAAAAAAGACATCTCCTTAAATACACACACACACACACAAACATATTTATTTTTTGTCATTTATCAATACGAAATCTATTAGCACACGAATATACACAAAAAGAAAAGCGACAACATAAAGAAAAGAAAACACACACACACACACATATATTCATCTACATTGACACGCGTCGACAATCATATTAGGTAAACGACGAATAATATAATTATAGTCTGAACTTTTATAAAATACATTTAAAAATGAATAACGTTCAGGTACACAACCAGCTTTTGGTAGTTCTATATCATTTCTAATACCTAAACGTTGTAGAAAATATTGAAGTAGTGCATGATTTGTCATTAACTAAAAATAGAAAATATACATATAAATATTTATAATTATCGATATATATACTTTTGTTTGACATGAACCGAGACATATATTTGCCATAAAGTTTTTCGGTTCAATCATCCATGAAGAAAAACCCAAATCAGAAAAATCGATAACAAATGGTTTTACAGAACATGAATCTAATTCTGATATTATATTTGTATCATTCCAATTCGATGATGGTAATAATAGATTTGAATCATATGTTGATTGTTTTTCTTCATTTGAACGTCGTATTCTAAAACAAAATGAATAAATTCTAAAGATATTTTTTGTGCAAAAAAGAAAATAAACCTATTTCTTTGATTAACTTCTTGTTCAAATTGTTCATAAGATTTAATATCTTGTTCGAAATTTTTTGGTATAAATTCTTCAAAAATATTTGTAAATTTCGTATCATTTGAATAAATAATTAGAAATGGTGTATAAACACTAAATTTTTCTAATTCAATTATATTTCGTCGTTGAGTATTTGTTGTTACAGTTGGTTTAAATGTTAATCCGAAATAGTCCGATTTTTGTGATAATGTTAAATAATTCAATTGACGTTGAATTATATCACCAATTGGAAATGATTGCCAACCATAGGAATCAGATTCTAATTGTATTTGAGCAGATAATGATGAAAGGCGATGTGATGAATAGATTTCATTTAATGAATATGATATTGGCCAACGTGTTCGACGTTTATAAAAATGTAATGAAACAGCATAAAGACTTTCTGTACGACGAATTACATTTAAATCAAATACATACATTGTCACATTATCAATTTCAACTAAAAAAATTTAATCAAGATTAAATAAAAGATGACAGATGTCATAATTGAACCAAAAGAATGTATAATAGGATGATCTCTAGTGAAGGACATCGATGACTTGTTGGCTTCTCATATTACTCGAAACAATCGATAGAAGAAAAAAGAAAACAATGTGAAGTGTCTTTGATCATTTTTATTCAGTAAGTAGATTTCGATTGATAAAAGATTCTATATGTTATTCTTTTTCTTTTTCTTCTTCAATGACTCTACTTAAGATGATACTTGACTTCGATGACTATGTTCATTTATTTCTATGGAATACATATATAATTGTTTATCTCTATTATTATTACATCGATTCCTTCGACTAAATAAGCAAAATGAGGAGATCTGTTTTTATTATTTAATAGTTCAATGACAATAGAGAAGAAGAAGAAGAAGAAGAAAGATTATGCGATCACATAGGTCAACGAGCAGACAACAATTGATCATTATGTTCTACGGAAGAGAAACGATCCGCCTATTCATTACGTCAAATAGAAGTTAACTCTAAGAAAAGAAAAGTGTCTATCATTGTCTAAATTTTTGACAACAGAGAGAAAGCCGATGAAATCATTCAGTTAGAATCTTTTAATAACAATGCAATACTTCCTATAACCAATTAGTTTCGTTCATTGAATGCATTTTCATATAGATTGCATGTTACTTTGAACTGATCATGAAAGGTAACGTGTCTCGTCGTCTGGTTTATTTCATGGAGTATAATATCGATTTATGATCATACTCAAATGGTGTCTAAAAGCACTCAACATTCTCTCTTTGTCAAAAAGTTTCGCTTTTTCTTTTTTGTTTTAATTCTAATCTAATATGACATACATTAAACTCATAAACCAATCTTACCTATACGTGGCGCAAGAGCTCGTATAAGATTATAATTGAACTGTTTGTCATTTCGTTTTTCTTGTTCATATAATGTTTTCATATAATCAATTAATGATGATGAACTTGAATTAAATAATGTATAATATGAATTTGTTGAACGAAATGATGGTTTATCTCCATTATATTTGACTACATTAGGTTTTGTTGTTGTTGGAATATCAAGAAGAACAAATAAATCTGATAGTTGAAGAATTATTAAAAAAATTAAATACTGAATTGTTAACATGATGAGATTTTAATATCTCTAATTACATCTAAAATATATTTCAAAGAAATAATATTTGATCGGAAATAAAATGACACATTTACAATTTTATTAATGCATTATAAAACTATATATAGATTTAATCTAGAAGAAGAAGAAGAAGAGAAGAAAAAAAAACTATTTCTTTTTTTTTTTTCATTATGAGAAAAAATGTATTTTAAGCTAAGGATCATCACAGTTTAATGACAATACTTTTTCATAAGCTTCTCTTCTATTCAAAAGATCAATCTATACTTATCAACTTACAAGGTTGAAAGATTCTTATGTCTACTATATAAATATATGTCTTTAATCAAAAAAGAAGAAAATTCTCTTTTTATTTGTAAAATAGAAACCTAATCAAAACGAACAATTTAAAAATTGATCGAAAACAAATTATTCTCTTGTTGAATACCTACTTCCGTGCTTGTTCATTATACCGTCAAGACGATCAATGAATGAATGAATAAATAAATGAAGAACGCTTTTTTTTCTTCTCCTCTTCTTCTTCTTGCCGTCCTCTTCTCTCTCTCCACCTCTTTCGTTCTCTCTCTCTCTCTCGTTTTTTTTTGAATGAGCGAAGAGAATCGGTTAATAGTCTAATGGCTTTCTTTCACTATTGAATGATGGTGAACAGGCGCAATAATGAAGAGAGATGGTGGGTAGTTCTATGAGCCGTGATCGATGGCACGCCTCTATTTCATTTACCTGAACGGTGGGTTGGACTCACCTCATTTTTTTTCTTTTTTTTT